ATAAGATTGATTCCTTGTTTTTCTTTCTTGTCAAATTCTACTGTGATATTATCCAAGGATTTGTTAAGTTTATCTAACTCATATTTGGATTCATCCTTAACTTTTTCTATCTTTTCTTTATATTCTCGATGCAAAGTTTCATTACATTTCACATTGACATAATTCTGAAGTTTAAAGTTCTTTTCCAGCTCGGCATACTTTGCTCTCAATTCTTGATTCTCCTTCATAAGAATATCTGCCATTTTAAAAAAAATTGATTGATCAGATAAGGATCTATGCAGTGAAATCAGATAAAAGAAATATGAACAGTTAAGCTCAAAAGGAACAGAAAAAACACAAACACTGAAAAACTCACACACAAACAAATATACAATGATCCAAAAAAAATCTAAACACAAATGAACTAAAAAACCAAAAACACAACAAAATTAAGCCGAAGAAAATAATGTCCAAGTCCAAAACAACCGAGAAACATAAATTACTTGACTAAGACAAGCAAGTCAAATTAATCTGCTACACGATTTACACTTTACACTTCAACAAACAGATACTAATACACTATGATCAAATCAATCCAGAACTGAGTCTTGCACAGATGCTTCCTGTTGAAAACCTTGCTCACAATGCACTTTAGTATGAAATTTACCCAGTCTCTGTTTGTGCTTCGTTCTGAATACCAAAATAACCTGTTGTGTATTACTAAACAACCAAGACAAATTCTGAAATGTGTCAAAATAGAAAGTTGCAGTTAGTCAAGAATCAAGGATAGAAGTATTGCTGCTGCTAGAATCTTAACAGTCCTCAAATCCACAAACACAGTCACAAAACACAAACCTGAACTTGATGTACATACAACAGTAAAACCCTCACAAATATTTAACAACCATCCTAATCTGTACAAGCTTAACAGTCTTTGAATACTGTCAAAACAGCTTTGGAAGAATCTGTCAAAGCAAAGTGTAATCCAACAGTTTTCTTTAACACAGGCTGCTGCACACTGTTGTAGTTCTTGCTGTTACAACTCAGAAACAAACCTGCACACTGTTCTAGGCTTTAGTGACTTATAACAGCAAGTACCTGCACTACCTGCACACTTTGCTACTGCTATTCTGTTTTAGAAGTTGCTGCTGCAGTTTTGTTTTGAAGATGCTGTCTGTGTATGATATTGAACAACAAACAGAACAAACACACAACATAATTAATTACACAAACAACCTGTTTATGCACACAGTCACTTGTTGCTTATACTGCTGTTACCAACACATCACAAACAGTTGCTGTTAAAACAGACTTCTTTTTATACTAACACTAGCACTACTGTTATAAACCTTGAGTTGCTGTTGTTTCAAACCTGCACAAACCTGCAAGTTGTTAAGACTTGTGAGTTTATGGTGTCACTAGCATCATCAACAATCGATGTGAGTTCCTCCTCGTGGACGGCAATGGAAATACTCAACAATTGTGATAACCAATTGTGAGTTTGTTGTCAAAACAGTTTGAGTTGCTTTGCTGCTGCTATTACACATAAACCAATTGACACAGAAACCTGCTGTTACAACCTGTTTTGCTGTTGTTAAACTTGCTACTTAAACTTTAAAGAATTCCGCAGCAGCAACCTGTCTTGAGTTTAAACAAAACAGCAACTTAGAACTGAGAATTGGAGACAGTTCAAAATCAAAACAGTCACCAAACAGCTGTTAACCAACAGCCACAACAAACCTGTTAAGAGCAAACCACTCAAAACAGACCTGTGACGCTTGTTACTGCAGCTAAATCACTCAAACAGATTGCTTTCTGTCGGTTTCTAAATTGCTCAAGCCAAAACTGCACACTACAAACTGCTTAAACTGTCCAAACACAAACGATGTTGCTGTTGTCACAATGTTGTTGCTGCTGCTTAAAACTGCACCCAGATATACAACAGCAAACACATTACAAACTCACAAACACAGTTTCAATTTGCACACAGATTGTACCTGTTGCTGTTCCAGTACTCAAAAATTCCTTAAACAAACAACAAGAACAAACAGCTAGAACATATCAAATCTAATTAATGTTGTTTCATTCAGTGCTAGAACAAATCAAATCTGCTGTTTCAGTGCTATAACAAGAAATTATTAACCTCTATTTGAACCGTATCAGAAATCTTACAGACAACAGCATGCACAACCTGTGTGTTTAAGCTTTTCTTTGTGAATGTGTTAGTTGCAGTTTCAAATCAAGGTCTGCGTCTGTTACAGTCCTGCATGAGTTCCTCACAAATCTACAGTCCTTTCTTCTTGTTCACACACACAATGTTGTTGCTGTTAAACTATTCTGCTCAAACAACCTTTTAAACCTCCTTCGAAGAATATACTCAACAGTTGTTCAGAACATTGCAACATTGAAAGAGCTAGTAATAGCTTGGTTATTTCAGATAGATTACATCCATCTGCTAACCAAGACTACTGTGCCACATTTGCATCATCTCACCATATGAATTTTCACAAGACTCTCTTCTCCACAAACACAGCACAAATCAAACAATAGCACTCTAAAACATATTTTAAGTAGTCTTGAAGACTCTAAACAGCACAAAATAACAGCAAACCAACAATCAACCAATCTGCTTAGCAGTTCACTGTTGAGCAGTTCACTCTTGACAGATTAGTATAAACCTGACATAATGAATGATAAACCTGACAAGAGTGTAAACCTGACAGGACTCTCAATCGATTAGAAATGCTCAAATAAATCTCACCAATCTCAATCGATTTTTGATAGGTTATTGAACAAATTACCAAATTTAATCAAGAAACAACGAATAATGAAGAATCTGGGTAAATGAAATCAAGCGGATTAGAAGTCTGCTCAAAATTCTTCGATGCACAACAAGTTCTAAACCGGACAGAATACTCAGATTTAAAAATGGATGTGAAATTGAAYGGTTTCTAAATCCGGACAGAAAGCTTTGRTTAAAAAATTTCTAAGTCATAAMCCGATCAAGWGTAAAACTTAAAYCGGTCAAGTCCTCTCAAGACTATACTTAAACCGGTCAAGTCCGCTCAATGTTAAACCTAACCCGCTCAAAATTAAAAAACAAGACTTACCTGATTTGAAATAATCCGATGAAATAATGTGAGGTTTAGTGTAAACCTCTCAAAGCTGTGAAGAATCTGCTCAAATGGTGTGCGGTGTATATGAATACCGCTCAATATATCAAGGCAAGAGTTGATCGGTTTACCTCTCCGCTCRTTCTCCGCTCAAGTGATGTGCGGTGACGATGAATACCGCTTGAAATCCGGTGATGCTTTGTGAGGATTAGACTTGAATCCTATGATGCACAATGAACAAACCGGCCAACTGTCTTGCTGTTTATCCCTTATCTGCTCAACCAAAATCCAATTGATTTAGAATAGGACGTGTTATGAATTGTTTAATATTGGGCTAATAAAATGGGCTTTTGAAATGGGCGGTTTAACAAAAAATAACAAAACTAAAATATTAAAAACAAATCAAAACTATCAAAAACACAAAAACAAAAAAAATTTAACAACAAAATGGATCAAAAACACTAACATTTAAAAAAAATCAAGAACACGAAAAAATTCAAAAACACAAAAATCTGATTAAATCTTGATAAAGATTGATCAAATCAGAAAATTTTGTGAGTAACAAAGATTCACAATACAATTTCGAGCATTTTGATCATTTTATAACATGAAAACACAAGATTTTTTATGAAAAATCGAATCAAACAGAAAGAAAAATCAAGAACACGAAGAACACCAAAAAAAATTCAGAAAAAAWTCACTTATCTTTTCGATTTCTTMATCTGATTTCYTGCATTCCGGCTCTGATACCAATTGTGTGTCCGTAATCACTGATCAATTCTTCATTTCATCACAACAATCATGGCAGAATCTTGATATTGCATTAAGATCATCAAGAACACATATATGAATATTGAGAGGAAAAGTCAATCCTCTCAATTCTGGTCAAACCTTCTATTATGTACGTATGTATTACRATAAGCTCTCTCTCTACTCTAATTACAAAGACTTAACCATATTTATATGGTCAAACATACAAAGACAAGTCAAACCTATAAGAAAAGTCAAACACGCTGACTTTTTACAATTATAGACTATTTATAAACTTTCAAGACGAATACAATTAATACTGATTTCTCAGTCCTAACAAAGACAATTAAATCTTTGATGTACTTCAGAAAATGTTTCATTTTTTCCATAGAGAAAGCTTTCTTATTGTCTTACTAGATTTATCTTCCTCGATTCTTGTACCTGAGAGGTACGTTCATATTTAACACAAAGAGTGTCCTACATGGTTTTCGAGGTCCCAAGCTTCATCACAAAGTGATAGACCTCATGAGGAAGAGACATGGCTATTATAGATCTCGCTCGAGTATCTATAGCCACCTTCTTCTTGTCTTCATCACTCCACTGATGAGGGAGCTTAGGAATCTGCCGTTCAAGAATCGCGGTAGTCATAGCTGTTTCAAGAACATCCAGAGATATAGCATATGGAAAATAAGGTCCATTCTCTATATAATTTGGGATCTCAAGATCCACACCTTCCAAGAAAAAAGACGTTCGATTCTTCCAGAGACTAAAGTTGTCTCTTAAAAATCGGGGAGGTTTGGCAAGGGAGCCATTATCGTGAAAGTTTGTGCTTGTGTTTTGCAAAGCCAATTGAAAAACAGTAAATTATCTAGAGAAAGAGAGATAATAAAATGCAGATAAACAACTAAACAAGACAAAAAGAAAACACTGCTCTGATACCACTTATTGGTCTCAACCGGGTCTACAAGAGTTTTAGAACAGTTTGTAGAAGGGGGGATGAATAGAAACACGAAAAACTTTCATTTTAAAAATATATATTGATATAGAAGGATCAATACAGATTTTTCCAAACCACCCTCAACCCTTTTTCCTCCAACCAATCCCTCTCTCTCCCTTTTCTTTTCACAAAAACCACAAGCCGGACCAATTTTAAAAAAAAATCTTTTTTTCTACTTCGAACCAAATTTTCCAAAAAGAAACATTTGATTCCCCTCCCCTCTCAAGCCGACCTCACCCCCTCTTTCAAACCATCTCTCTCCAACCCCCACCCACTCATCTACACCCTCATTCGGGGAGCATTGATGGTGCCTGTAAACAAAGGTCATTATAAGCCAAGATGTCACTTTTGATGAACCTCCTATGTTGCATGATTCTCCATTCTCTACATGTGAGACCATTTCTAAAACTCCTAAACATAAACCTTTGACAGAGTGGAGCAAGTTATTGCTCCAACATCGAACGCTTATGCTACTAATGATAATACACTTCTTCTTATGTTGTTCTTCTTCTATTATAGGTGTTCAAGTGGTAGGTGATTTTCTGTCACAACCATCTCACTAGATCCTGAATTGTGTATTGCACGTGATAAGGAAAAAAGACAAATTATACACCTACACACTGTACTTAAGAAGCCGATTTAGTAGCACATGCTTTGAGTGTAGTGAAAGAAAAAAAACATGTTGAGCCTACTTCTTATAGTGAGGCTATGAATTTAAAATATATGGATAAATAGATGATGGCAATGCACGTAGATATGGAATCCTTGCAAAAGAATGGAACTTTGAACTTGTATCTGCTCCTAAAGATAGAAGTTGGTTAGATGCAAGTGGATTTATAAGTTGAAAGAAGAGACACTCCAAATGAAAGCCAAGGAATAAACCTCGGTTAGTCACAAAATATTATAGTCAAAATCCTAGCATTAACTATACATGCATGGCTTATAATGGTCGCATTCAATTATCTTGTGCTTGAGCAATTGGATGTGACGACCACTTTTTTGAATTGAGAACTTGAGAAAGAGATTTTTATGCAACAACTAAACTGCTTTCAAATATATAAGGTTCCGTGTGCAAGCTTATAAATTCTCGCTATGGGCTCAAACAATCTCCCAGGCAATGGTAGAAGAGATTCAATGCCTTTGTGACTGCACATGACTTATATAATTCTTCGTACAACAACTGCGATTATTTGAAGAAGTGTGATGCCGACTCGATGTTATATTTTCCCTTGTATGTAGATGACATGCTCTTAACATCTAAACATGTGGGAGAAGTTTAGAAGTTAAAGACTTTTTAAATTTCAAATTTGATGTGAAGTATCTGGGAGACACAAAGATAATTTTTGGTATGGAGATTATTCGTGACATAAAAGCGAGGAAATTATACCTTAGTCAAAAAGGGTATGTTGAAAAAGTTCTTCATTGGTTCTATATGTCTAAAGAAAAGTCTATCAATACTCCATTTGAGCCTTCAAGTTATCATCTGCTTTAAGTCCTTCAAATCAAGACGTTATTGTATATACGGCAAGAGTTCCATATTCTAGTGCAGTAGGATCTTGGATTTATGTCATGATTTATACCCGTCCTGACCTTCCCAATGAAATTTCTATGGTGAAAAGATATATGGCCAACTCGGTTAAATAGCATTTGAGGGTTGTCCAATGGATCTTCCGTTACATGAGGGGTACGACAAATGTGTGTTCGCATTTTAGGAAGAATTCTTTGGGGTTGCTTGGCTATGTAGATTCTGATTATGTCAAGGATCTTGATAATAGAAGATTTATCACTAGATACTTTTTTACTCTTGATGAGTTTGCCATTAGTAAGAAGGCATATTTTCAAACTGCCCTTGCTTTATCTACAATGGAAGCAAATTATATGGCGGTTAATGAAGGTGTGAAAAAAGTTATCTGGATCAATAGATTTTTTTTTTGTGAATTAAATGATCATCTGAAGGTCGAAGAGGTTCCACGTGACAATCAATGTGTGGATCTCTTGATCAAAGATTGGATGTTTCATGATAGGACGAAGAACATCGATATTCGTCATCACAATGTTCGTGGGGTAGTAGCTAAAGGTGATGTTAAAGTGGTCAAGATTAACACTCACAATAATGCCTTAGATATGTTGAGTAAGCCGCTTCCAATATACAAGTTTAATTTTTGTTTAGAGTTGGTTAGGGTTGCAAGACATACTTTATGTCCTTAAGGGTGAGATGGTGGAGGATCTTTCCTTTCGGAGAACTTTGATTACTTTAGTATTGCTTTGTTTATGGGTGATCATTTTGACTTGAGATGAATATTGGAGGAGTTTATGTTCTTAATATAGTTTTTTGGTTTGAATACAAGATGGATATTTATGAGTTGTTTCCTTCTACCTCAAATATTGGATGCCTTATATGCTATTGGAGTCCCAAGCCATGGAATCCATGCAACTTTCATATGTGGCTTATTATGCCGCCAAATTTATCACCTTAGATCCTAGAAGCATGAACTGGACAGTGGCTCCCGGCTTCTCCTGCAACTCTGCCCGCATGGAAAGTCGCTAGTATGTTTTCTATCTGGCGTTAGGAGTGCTCAAAAACCCGACCAACCCTACCAATCCGATTAACCCAACCCAACACGAAAGAACTCAATCCAAAGCAATCTGATGTCTAATCAAGATGTAAAGTCTTCAAACCGTTTGGTTGATATTGGGTTACTTTTATTTGAATCCAACCTAACCCAACCCGATGAACACGGCATCCTTTTATTTCTTGATTTTAAATTTTTGTTAAGTCTCTATTAATATGTAGATTAGAGAATTATAGCATAACGTACCCTCTTTATATACATATATTTCAATCTATTCTCCATCTCTATATAACTAGCTCCTTTGTATACATGTTTAGTAACTGTGAACACACACACACATATATATTTAGAATATTAATTGAATATGATATACTTAAGATTTAAGAAGTATGAATAAGTTATACCAAATGGTTGATGATGAAAAAGATATAATGAGTAGACTAGAGAAAACAACATATTCAAGGTTGGGAGAATATTTTGATGTATTAAAGTATCAATCCAACTAGCCCAATTAACCCGACCAACCCATACGGTTTAGGTTGGGTTGGGTTGAGTTGAGATTTTTCAAACCACAAACATTAGGTTGGATTATTCAAATGCCAATTAACCTGGCCCATTTGGTGAGTGTGAGCAGTGTTGACCACCAATTGTTCTTTTCTTAATATAGGAGTTGATTTTGAACTTATCCATTTAAGAATATAAACCCTCTGTCTCTCGGTCTAAAACTTGTTCCCCAAATTTATCAAGAACCTTTTGATTTCTCCATTGTAAAGGTTGTAATTTTTCAAGTGTATCGTCATCAATGTGATAGTGGATAAGTTCTCGACGCTCTCTTTCCGTGGTTTTTGGCCTTTCTGGGTTTTCAAGTAAA